GATACGATGAGGGAAGAATTTTGTTCGTCCAAAGCAGGTGAATCGTGCGGAGGCGATGACGATGAAGAGCGGCGACAGTTTTGTGGGTGTGAATTTGTTGTGGGCGGATGTTTTTCTACCGATCCCGTTTGAATCGTACCCATAGAACCATAGAGATTCTGGGTTATGGGCTCAAGTCAAGGAGGAAGACTAGTGGAGGGATAACATAGATTCTGGGTTGTTAGGGTCGGCCATGGCTGAGACTTGGACGGTGGCGATGATTATTTGGGACGACGACGACTGAGATGAGAAATAGAGAAGGGCGACACAGAGGCTTCGGTGGTAAGGAGCGGAAGAAACTTGACGGTGGTTTTAATGGAGTTTTTCGGCAGAAGAAAATCGAGAAAGAAGCTTCACCGTTGCCGGAAGAAGACGAAGAGCAGGAGCATTTTATTATTATTGAAATTACATGTTTTCTAATTTCTTTATGTTTAGTTGTTATTTAATTTAAATTAAAAATGTGAGGTGTCAATGACTTGGCATTGCCACGTCAGCAAAAGTCAATGTTAAGTTGACCACCGTTTGGTCAACCATTATCTTTAACGGTCAACGAAATTGTCAGGATACAAATGACATAAAGTATAATAGTTCAGGACACAGATGGAATATTGGAAACAATAGGACACAAGTGGCATTTTCAGGATAGTTCGGGTGTTGTAGTGGTATTAGCCCTAAATTGTATGTGTTGTTTAGTTTAGACAAAATACTGAAGTGTAACCAAAACATGAACCTTTGTGACGAGTATAATTATTATTTTTTTTTTGTGATAAATCTACACATAATATAATAATAAAATTGGAAAATGAGAGTCTCATTTCATATTTCGTTGCCTGAGAGTGATTCTAGAAAGCTCTTTTTCGTCATAGTGCCAATTTATCTTTATATTATGTATAGATTTGTGACAAAAAATTGCTATATTTCTCACAAATATCAATATTTTGGCTACACATATGTATTTTGTCTACACTAAACCACATACATAATTTATTATTTAATGTTTGAATCAATGTTACTTGAATTCCGATTTCACAACTAATCACTTTCTATAAGATGTAATAATTTCAGGTAAAATGTCTTTCCTACTTGGTTGAAGAAGCTCTTTCTATAAGATATATTCAATATTTTAAGATTTTCTATTTCAAAGTTTGTGAAACGAGAGCGAAAGTAGGAAGAGTAACTTTGTCATCACAATTATTATCTACTTCATATGAAAAAGTATCAATAATTTATCTTCTTGAATTGTAAACATGCACTAAGCGAAGATTTGAAAAGCAGAGGGCTTTTCACAGTTAGCTAGCCTATTAAATCTTCTGAAAAGCAAAGTTTAATACGCGTATAATTTTTATAACCTATAAAACGATGGTAATCATAAAATTGCAACACAAATTTTATTGCTTGAAATATTGCATATCGAACTGCAGTATTGAATATGCAAAAGCGATGTAGAATTCTTTAAATTAATATAAAATTTTAGAACTAATATGAAACAATAATATTTTGTATAAACTATAGGTGAATGGTTCTCTAAAATTTTTTCCTTGTTAACTGCTAAACGTTAAACTCTTGCTAATCGGGCATGAATGCACCCGACAATAATGAGACGATATCGAGTTTAATGTGATGTCATTTCGTCAGATTTGGATCGAATGTGTTGATCAATTTATAGGGCATTAACATATAAATTATTTATAATTAACCTCATTATACAATTTTACTCTTTATAATAATTAATTAAATTTTAATCTTTATGATGTTTGAAATATTTTATGTATGATTTAGAGGTATAATTATTATTTGTGATATAAGTTGTAGTTTATTCAAATGTTGTATTTCATTAGATAGTCAAAATCAAATACTGGGTGCATTTATGATGGAAAAAATCCTAAAGTACACTAGTAATTAAAAAAATTCCTAAAATACATAAGTTATATAAAAAATTCCCAATTTACACATGTTTCACATTCACCGCCTTTGTCTAAGGCAGTGAATGTAATCACCGCATTAGAGAAAGGCGGTGAATAATTCACCGCTTTTATTTAAAACGATGACGTATTCACCGGGCCTTGCAAAACGGTGAATAACGAGGGAACCATTCACCGCTTTACACAAAAACGATGAAGTGTTCACCGTTTTAGTAAAACGCGATGAAATATTCCCCGCATCTGAATGGCACGATGAAAGCGACGCGGATCGCTGACGTGGACAAACGCGGTGTATTCACCGTGTTTGTCTAACACGGTGAATACACCGTGTTTGTCCACGTCAACGATCCGCGTCGCGGATAGCTCACCATTGCCGTTGGATGCAGTGAGGCCCGGATTTTGGTTTTCTTCCCAGATCCGACGCCTCACAGCGTCCCACGTCATTCGATCCGCGCCTTCACCATCTTCGATAAAGGCGGTTTATTCACTGCCTTTGTCAAAGGCGGTGATGGCTCAGTGGTTTTTTTTTTCCGTCACTACCTTCCCCTATAAATAGAAGTATAGAACCCTTTCCCCCCCCCCCCCCCCCTCTCCAAATCACACCACCACATTTACACTTCTTTCTCCCTCCTTCCATCCACTCTAGTCTCGTTCTAAGTATGCTTTGTGGTTGCGGCTAAGTCCGATCTTCCACATCATAAAGAATTACTAGAGTTATACCATAAAGCCCCCGCCCCTTATAAACCCGTCGAACCTCTGTCCGGCTTTCGCAAAAAAAATGGACAAAGAGGCTCTTCGGGTAGGTTCTTGGTTTTTCTTTTGTGATTTTTTTTAATCGAAACAATTTGATTTTGTGATATTTTTTAATCAAAACAATATTATTTCATTACGTTTTTTATAGATGGGTGCCGAGATATACGATCATCGATTGTATATCCATTATGGGCCAAGAGATACGAGGTATTTAACCGATAAAGAAGCACATCGATCCTGTGCAATTTGGGACAACAATCTGGTAAATTGATGATTTATTTTGCTTTATTTTATTATTTTATAAGGTTTTATTTTGCTTTCTTTTAACTAACAAGTTGATGTTTTTCCTATTTTTTTAGGAATCACTTATTCCCGTCATTCATAAAGGGACCACAAACTTGCCCGCTTGGCATGATCGGTTGGCGCCGAATATAGAGAGGACCGGGTTGGGTATGTTGAGGCATTTCATGCGGATTGAAATCGACAACGATCTGCTTACGGCAATGGCGGAGCGATGGCGCCCCGAAACCCATACGTTCCACCTTTTGGAGAGGGAAATGACGATCACCCTCAAAGACGTCGCGATCCTCACCGGGCTGCCGATTTCTGGAGAGGGATCATTGGTACCACTACCAAACCCGAAGGAGGCTGGGGGCTGCTCATTCGTGCTCGTTTGGGATTTGACATGCCGACCACCACACCAATTCAAGGACGGGGGCATCCACCGTTGAATGCGGGACAATTGTCGGTCCCGTGGCTCGTTACTCACATCCAAAATGAGATGGAAATCGATGACGAGACTCCGAAAGATCAAGCGGAGCGCTATGCACGCATCTACCTCATTGGTTTGATGGGTGGATATCTCCATTCAGATGCGAGGAACATTTCACCGCGTTTTACTAAAACGGTGAACACTTTTTTTTAATTACTAATGCATTGTGGGATTTTTTTTCATTTATGATTATGTTTATCTTTGTGTTGTGAATAGGTAGAAACTTAATTATTATAATGCATATAACTATACCTAGACACATGGTCGAGCTAGCACCATACAGTTAGAGCATACCATAAAGAGAATGTATATGGATCGGCCATGTACAAGCATGAATGCTTCATGGTTCGTACCAAACCTAAACTTCAAGGGCTCGCGCACAAGTGCAACCTCCACACAGTCTATATTGGTGGGCTCTTGTTTTATGGAAAACTGTGCCATTTAATAAAAATAAGACAAAAATTCTAAAAATAACATATAAAATTTGAATTAATGAGTAGTTTCTCACATCAACGTGTGACGGCTCATATTCTAAAAGGTTTATACAATACATTCATTGTTTAGCTTGAGACTAAAACCTTTTTCAATGTATACAACTAAAATTCATTTATAAAATCATTCTTGATTAACTTTATAGCTAAAAATTCTTTTTTATAGCTTACAGTAATAACAAACAATGTCAACAATAAGTTTAGAAGCAAGTAAAGTGAAGAAGAAATTGAGATTTAGTATTTCTTTGCAAATGTGTGTGAGAGAGGAGATTCTTTTTTTTCTAAAAAATTTGAGGAAGGGTTGAAATTCATATATCATTTGTTTGAATATTGAATATTGCATATTGAATTGGAGTATTGAACATTTTGGAAGCAATATATAATTCTTAAATTAGTATTAATTTTCAGCCGGTTAACCAATAGCCTTAGACGTTTTGCTAATCTGGCATGGATCCAATAATCATAAGATGATATTTAGTTTGATATGACGTCGGTTCAAAACAATTTTTTATGCGTAATGAATTTGTACAACAAATACATGCACTACAACAAATTTGACCTATTATGACGAGGGAATTTTGTCATATTAGATATCAATTTTGTCATATCAGGTATAATATGACAACAGTTGTTGTCACAAAGATTTGTCATTTTATCGCCATCAGGATAGGTCAAATGTGACAAAAATTTAAAACAAGGTTGTCACATTTGCTTTTAGTATAGCTGAGGTTCTGGGTAGTCTATTGTGACAAACAGAGATAAATATGTTGTCATAAACTGGTGATTTTTGGAGACTTGTTTGTCATATTACACGATTATATTTTGTCATAACTGTATATTGCGACGACTACATTTTGTCACAAGTGTTTATTGTGATGACATTATTTTGTCATTACTGAATATTATGATTATATTTTGTCATAACTGCATATTATGACGAGTATAGGTTGTCAGAAAAGGTCTTCTATTTGTCTCATGTCTAATATGACAAGAGAACAATTTGTCAGGCAATGTACATAATGTGCCGACATTACATTGTTATCACATTTGACCTGCTCCAAAAATTTCATAATTCAAAATTGTTTCCTACATTGCAACCTGATAATAAGAAGATTACCAAAGATCCAAAACATTACAACCATGCCATAGCAGTCTAACTCCTTATGCAGCATAACCAAACATTCTAAGTTGTCCACCATGACACAAAAAATTCTAACTCAATGCGGATCTTGGGTTCTCCTCAGTCCATACTTCACCTTTTTCTTCAGGACCTTCTGAACAATCTCACGGCCTGATACAACCTTTCCCTCTGCCTTTTCTTCTATCCAAATGGACTACATCATCGGGCTTTACTGTGAAGATCCTCAGCAATGAATCTTTGCAGGGGGGGAATCCAGATCTCAGCAAAGTACCCTCTATTCATCTCATATGTACTACCCATTATCACCGCCTAGTTATTACATCATCGATGAGAAAAAGAGAACACAAAACTTACATGTTCTTCTTGATGTGTGTACATTACTTCCAGATCCCCTCTTTTTGTGGCCGCCCAAACCTGAAAAACAAGGACATCATGACTAATTCAATGACTTATTTCAGATAAAATTTGGATCATAATAATAAACACTTTGTTTGTCATTGTTAGTGTACCTTTATTGTCTTATCTAATGAACTTGATAAAAGAAACTGGTCCCAACAAAGAACAAACATGACCACTGAAGTATGCCCTGTCAAGGTTTGTATGCACTACAAATTTTCAAGGTTCCAGACCTAGAAAAAAAACACGATGAATATATGTAGCAAACATGACGGTTCAATTAAATATAGCTGAAACAGGTAGTATGATAAGATCATGAGAGTGAACACACCTTTAAAGAATTGTCCATGGAACCAGAGAAGAGTCTATTAGCTCCAACAACTAACGAGACAACAGCTAACGAATGACCCTTAAGTGATGCAGCTGGCTCAAAGATGCTTGTGGCTGCATTATATCTCTATGCCAAGACTGCTGAATCCTGGACTAATATAAACAATTTAACAGTTATAAGTTGATCATCTTATACAACTGCAAAAGAATGACTACAGGAAACAAGAGCATGAATAGCATCATCCAGAAGTCTAATGCAACAAAAACATCACTAATATGTCCAAACTTCAGTTTATGAAGTTGAGCCACAGATAAAGACAGAAAGATCTATAATCCAGTGACGTATCACCTAGGTTCCAGCAAATAGCAAGTCACTACCCACAACCATAGCATAAACTTGTCCAACTGGCCCACTAAGACTTAGGTCAACATTGGTCAGTAAGTTCCATGCCTGAAAAAATATGCAAGCCCCTAGAACCCAATTTGAAAAGGGACCACACAAAGAACTAATTCAGAAAAATGCAGATACCACCTCATTAACAGCCAAAAACTAAAAGTAAAGATCAAGCATACTGGGAATCGACTGAATTTCATGTCTTCCTAACCTTCACAAGATTTGGGATACCGAAAAAAATTCATGGACCTTCAGTGATCATACAACCTACTTCACCACCCAGATTGATAACTCCCATGCACTGGAAAATCACGACAAGTAAACTATCAGAAAACTTATACAGTAAAAGGTTACCGAACAAGGAATGGAGGAACCAAATATTTATAAAGCTAGACTATAGCAACCTAGTCGGAGTGGCAATCCCAAATCGTGACATCTTGGCTCCCTGTGTAAAGCTTATCAGACCCAGATGGCAAAGCAATCCCACTGACAACCTGGTCATCATAACAAGAAGTAATCAGTACGAAAATGTTGGTAGCATAATAACCCAATAAGAAAAGAAAAGACAAAAAGCCAATACCTTTTGGTGGCCTCCTTCAAGTTTTATCAACAAAGAGAAACTATCGCCTGAACTCCAACTATGTAAATACCTGCAGCCCTCCCCAAAAGTACAGTTCCTTGTATCCAATAATTACACAGTTTGAACTCCTCCACCGCCACTTAGCCGGTGGAAGATGCCTTTATTCCCGCCGTGAGCGTCTAAATCCATCTCCGATTATTTTAACTTCGGAGCAGGAGAAACAAACTAGGGCGCTGAAAACTCGTCTGTCTTCTAAATTGGAGTGAGTCGGGGAGTAGTGCGGGCGATTCTGATCATGAAAAAACCCTAATAAGTTAAATTGAACAGGGAGCCACCGCGCTAATTGGATGCTGAAACTAATCTGGCGGCTTTGCAAAGCAAATGAAGAAGAGCAGAGTAAGTAGGGATACTGGGTAGTGGCGCAAAATCTGATATCTGCCTCTCACGCAGTGGCCAACTCACGCGATGGCGGCAGTCACGACTTCCTCTTGCTTTCTCTCCACAGATCTTGAGAAGCTCTTCGTCCTCTGCCACGACAATGACGACACCATTTACAAGGTCTGCCACCACTGCACCTTCGTGATCCACGCCTTCAAGCAGGATTGCTGCCAACAACGAGAGGGGTTTGCGAAGAAGAGAGAGACCAAAAAAAATCCTCCTTTCTAACCCTAGAAATTTAGAACAATAACAAAGAAGAGAGAGGTTTCAGAATTTGACAAGAAAAAGAATGAAGAAATATAGAAGGCGGAAGAAGAAAAGAAGGGGATCAATAAATTAAATGGGTATTAGGGGCAGGTGGGTGGGTGATTTGAATGTTTCAATTGTAGGGGGAAAAGTGGGCGGGCTTGGGAAAAATTGTGGGCAAGTTATAGTCAAATTTTGGGTGGGGAATGAGATTTGTGTCAGTTCAACGTAAAATGTGCGACCGGACTGATTAATTTCAGGCTAACACAAGATTTCAATATGACACAAGTAAATCTGACGAAAATGATTTTTTGTCAAAAATGAAACTACTATATTATGACGAACAAGCCTTATGTCAAAGCTGAAACCACTATATTATGACGAACATGCTCCTTTGTCAGCTCGTCGTGGAATTATTGCTATCTATTGTGACAAAATACTTTGTCATTTAAACAATTCAGGAATGCATAATTTGACAAATTTAATTGTGACACGAAATAGTTGTTACATTACTCACTTTAAATGACGAACTATTCTGACAACAAGAAATTTGTCACTGTTGAGTCTCTTACATCCCGATAAGGGACGCCTATTTTGACAAAATTAATTATGACACAAAATATTTGTCACATTACTTCCTTTAAATGACGACTTATTCTGACAACAGTTATTTTGTCACATTAGGCATACCAAATAGGACATATATTATTTTTGTCATATCACCGTACCTATTGTGACAAACAGAAAATGACAAAATAAAAAAATTGTCCTAATAGGTCGAATTTGTTGTAGTGATGTAAAGTGAAGATGAATATGGTTATGCATTTTGATTCTTTAGATAAATACAATGGTTTAAGGGTTTAAGCGATGAACTCACTACATACTCATTCGTTTGGTTTAACGAGTTCTGCTTTTTATCACTTTTAATAATTAGTTTATTACAGGCTATCATGCTACTTTGCTCCGTCGATGAACAAGCGACCATTTGTTCGCCATGTTTCAGGTGCTCTGATTCACACTATTGACTGTAAATGGAGAAGAAGCATTTTGAAAGCAAAATTGGAGAAGTAATTAGGATGTTTCTAGGTTTCTCTCGATTCCAAGCGATAGGAAGAAAGAGGAAGAAAAAAGGGGGAGAGTGGTGAGATACAAAGATAAGAGAGAGAGAGAGAGAGAGAGAGAGAGAGAGAGAGAGAGAGAGAGAGAGAGAGAGAGAGAGAGAGAGAGAGAGAGAGAGAGACGAAAGAACAAATGAAAAAACAAAAAGAAAGACAAAGAGAGAGTGAGATGACACATTTAAAATAGGAGAAAAATGAGGTAGTGTGAAATAATTGTCCTTCTGCTTTGATTAGTGGATATTCTTGGCCCTATTTTGTTGATTTATGATTTATTTTAGAAGATGACATTATATTTGACATATTTTTTTCCATTTTAATTTAAAATCCTAAATCAATATTATTATTTGAAAGATTTTTTCCTTAACTGTAATTTATGAGATTTAAGGGGTATTTGAGAAATGTCAATATTTTAGTGGTGTTTTATTTAAAGTTTGTATTGAAAGATAGTACGTACCGGCAGTTAGACGATAAAATTCACATCACAGGCTAAATCGATAGGTGATATTTAGCAATATGAAACGATTGAACCACAGTTAAGTAATGACTTCAGTATAAAATACTTTACTAGCAACTTTTTCGATATGATTTTACAATTCTTTGGTTTAAATAATTCTTTTACACAGGTGGAAACAAAAGTTTTGAGGCACTTTTTAAATTATCTATTGCAAAAAAGCATAAGTCAGTTAGATATAATGAGAATATGCGATCTCATGCAACCCAAAAGACACTTTGCAACTTCTATCTTTCTAAAATAAATGTATGCTACTCATACCCTCGCTCATTCATCAACTTAATGAGTAACATATATTTCATGTAATATTATTTTCATACTTTTTTATTTATTGAATTATTTCATAAAAAAAAATTTTGTTGCATGAAATTACTAAATTGTTGCTAGACATGTCTGTGATCTGAGAATAATTTGGGAAGTCCGTACACAACACATTGTCTAACTAACTATTAGCGACAACTTAGCATCATGTCCTATACATTCAAATTAAGCAACTTCGGATTCATTACCAAAAGTGTGGTAAAAAAGAATGCTCTCTATTGGGAAAAGCATAAAGGACTTACTAAACTCTATGAGACATTTTCTTTCATCCTAAATGTTGATTATTTATGTATTATGAGAAGCAACTCTAATATTCAACTATATGGTTTAATTAAGTAATGAATGAAAATTAGTTATATTTATTTTTTTCATTCAATAATTATATGTAATGCTTATATTATATTTTTTCTCTTTTCATGGAGGTCTAAACATATTATGTATAGTTGGATCACTTTCAAAAATGTTATGTGCATATAGAAAACAATCATTTCATGCATTTCAAATCACCTGTTATATTCATTATTATATACCACATTACTCGACAAAATTTTTCTGGACAACGAGCCGAGCCCTGTGCTAGTACTATTATTAGTAACTCAATGACGAACATAAAGAAAATATTATCTGTGGAAGTCTATGAAAACCCGAAGCCCAATTAACATGAGAATGATTTTAATTTTCTATTCAAATCTTGTATAAGTATGAATAAATCTCAAACTAATTTTTTTTTATGTGAAATAAAAAAATAGCATTAAGACCAGGCCACATACAGAGGGAACCCTGCAGCGCCTCTCAAACTGTAACAATGTACATATAAGCAAAACTTACAAAAAACCACTTCTATCTACATTTACTGCATACTATCTAACTCTAGTTGAAGGGCAGGATCTTCACATACTCGATAGACAACTTCCTCTCGTATCAACCTTACCAACGCAGCAGGATCTTTGATCACTTTAGACCCATACATCCGAGAACACCTCTCACGCCATATATGACTTATAGCAGCACTCCACAATGCTCTGCAAAGTCTCGACCTAGCAGTCTGCATCTTCCATTCCCTTGTACACCACGCAACTGTTTCTTCCCAGCTTCCTACACCTGGTGGAGAATGTCTTATCATACACATCTTCAATACAGATAATGAGTAAGAGCAGTAAATCAGAATATGATCTCTACTCTCCATGCCACCTAGGCATAAAAGAAAGACAGCATCCAGAAACATTTTTACCCCAAGATAAAAGCTTATCCTGAGTTACCAACCTCCTGTGAATAGCAAGCCACAGAATCAAACCATGCTTAGGAATGACCTCCTTCGCCCATACTAACCTCCACCACTGCACTTCTGGGGATTTCTCCCTGATGTCATTCCACACCCTAGACACCGAGAATCTTTTCATTTGCTCCCCCTGCCATAGCATACAACTCCCATTTCCAGAAACAAATGGGTAGGCAACAACCCTGCATTTCAATAAACGCTTCCAAATCCATGTCCCTGTAGAAGCAGCTGAGATTTCTCAAATCCATGTCCCTTCTTAGGAGTTGCTAACTTTTCCCAAGCCATGACTGCTTTTTTTCTACTACCATCCTTAGCTGAATCACACAAGAACTCATTACATAATCTCTCCACCTCCTTAATAACATATTGAGGCAGTAAGAAAAAGTTAAGCCAGTACTGAAGGGTGCTTGAGATGACAGTTGATATGAGTTGAATTTTTCCAGCATAGCTTAATAATTTTGACCTCCAGCTTCTCAATCTTTGTGTTATCTTATCCACCAGCACCTTACAATCCTGCCTAGTAAGTTTACCTGTGATAAGTGGAACTCCTAGGTACCTCACAGGAAGCACTCCAAGAGGAAATTCAGTAAACTCAGATATTGCAAGCATCTCTTCCTTAGGGATTCCAGCACAGAAAAGCTGACATTTAGCTGGGTTGCATCTCAATCCAGACAGCTTATAAAAGCTATCCATTAACCTTCTAATGCCAGCAACCCCTCTTACTGAGCCATTAGTAAACATCATTAAATCATCCGCAAAACACAAATGGGTAACCATAAGAGGTTTACAACTAGGATGGTAAGGAATCTGGTTATCAATCACTGCTTTCCTAGTCAAACAGTCCAGAGCTTCCATTGCAATTGTAAACAGGTAGGGAGACAAAGGGCCCCCTGCCTTAGCCCTTTGCCTGCCTTAATATTCCCACACAACCCACCATTAACTGTTACTCTAATAGTTGGTGTGGTAACGCAAGCAGCAATCAGTTTAAGAAAACCCCCGGGAACCCCATAGCCTCCATAATATTGAGCAAAACTTCCAGTTTACTGAGTCAAATGCCTTCATTATATCAATCTTCACCACAAACCTAGGAGTAATATTCTTCCTATGATAGTTTCTGACCAGTTCTGACACCAGAAGTATATTGTCACTGATAGACCTCCCTTTAATGAAAGCTGATTGAGATCTGCTAATCACACTAGGGAGTACTAAAGCAATTTTATTGGCTAACAGTTTAGATATTCCCTTGTACAATGTGTTACAGCAAGATATGGGTCTATAATCTCTCATCTTTTCAGAACTAGGAATCTTAGCTACCAATGTAAATATTGTACTATTCACAATAGGAGGCATGATTCCAGTAGAAAAGAAAGAAAGAATTACCTCTTCAACTTCAGGCCCAATAAGAGACCAGTGAGCTTTGTAAAACTCAACTGGAAATCCATCAGGCCCTGGGGCCTTATCTTTGCCAAGAGTCTGAAAAATCTGCTTGATTTCTGCTCGAGTAATTCCTCCCATTAACATATTCTTCTCATCATCAGACAACTTGTGTTGTATTGATCCCTGATAGTAAGAACCATCTTTAGCCTCCACATGAGGATTCTCAGCCCCAATCAACTTTTCATAAAATTCCACAGCAATCTTACCAATACTCTGTACATCAGTTTTAACTTCCCCACTGTCATTCATCATT